CGGGTACACAGTTGCAAAAATGTTTGTCTTTCCACTGTAGGTAGAGAACTCTACTAGGCAGAGAGGTTTTAATTTTGCTAAACATTAGCTGTACATTAATTTCTTTAACTAACCGTCTATTCCATTATTCGTGTTATACAAGTATCTGTTATGTAACTATGACATGAATGTTTTGACTTGAAATAACAAGATGTCAAAATAAGCTTTTCTATTGATATGCAACATAACATTTCGATAATATCTCGATCGATTAAAAAGATAGACCCCCTGGCCTATATACTTAATGAAAACGTTTTAGGTCGGAAAGGCTGATCATGAAATCTGAATCAATTGAAACGGTCAATTGTCCAGTTAGGTGTCGGGGAGAATGATATGCTGGGGATTCATAAAACTGGTGTAGAGCCGCATTTTGCAGCCGGTTGCAAAATGCATTCAGCTGCAAAATGCCGAGTTACAAATAGAGCCGCATTTTTGCAGCTGAACGCATTCTGCAACTGCAATGCATTTTGCAACCGAAGAAAATCGTGAAAACGCATTTTACATCTGGAAAGTATTTTGCAACCAGGATTTTTTCCTAGTATAAATAGTGTAAAGTTCTATAGAGGTAGAATCAGAATGGGGACGGGGTTGCCTCGGCTAGGTACACCGACATTGGTCAAGCTGGGGTGGATAATTATATACATGCATAACCTGTTTCACATTGTTACTTCCTAGATCATTATAGTTAGGAACTTGATACGTCAGGGATTAATAAACCTATTGTTTGGGGTTTGCAAAGGCTCTTCGGAATTTTATTGTGACTTGAGGTGTGGTCGTCCCTGGGGGTGGTCTATTATAATTTTTACATCGTATTTTATGATAGGAACATGAAACGTAGCTACATATCATTTTGGATGTGGAAGGGCACTTCGGACTTTTTGGGGTGTGGTCCTGGGGGCGGTTGAGTCTAATTGACATTATAATTCCTGCTATTTACCCTAAGACTGAAAAACCTGTCTTTGGGGATGTGTATGGGTCCTGTTTTTTTTTCTTTTTTTTTTTTTTGTGAAATTGGGTGTGGCCGTCATTATTCCTAGCTGCTTCTACCCTTACACCATTACAGTAAGAAACCTTCCGGGCTGATAAGCTTACCATTGAGGATATGCATAGGTTTCCGGGAATGTTAGTATGATATTTCAGGTGTGGCTATCCCGGGGGGTGGGGGTGGTTGATTTTATTTTTCACATCGTTATTTCTGCCATCTATACCCTGAAATTTTAAGGAACACGAAACTTTGGGGATTGATGAATCAGTAATTTTTAATGAATGTGCATGGGTCCTTGAGAAATGCAGAGAACACCAGAAGCACATACAGGACTAAACGTTAGCCATATGCATGAATATAGGTCAGGGAATCCAATTAAAAACTAATTCAAGGTCCCACACACTCAGGAATCCTAGCGTTCAGCTGCTGTTGTGTCTTTTAAGACACAAAACAAAAATGTTAATTACCCAAGAGCAGTATGTTAAAGAAGAACGGGACTTGGACCCTAGGATTCCTTAGAGTACGGGGTCTTGAATGGGGTTTTAATTAACTTGACCTATATTCAAGAATACGACTGAAGGTCTGTTACTAAGTGCTGTCTGCTGATTTCTCTGCATTTCCCCTTCCTTCCTATAACCCAAAGACCGCCTTCAGATTCACACATCGTACTATAGCCGGGTCGGTCCAACTCTGCGGGGAATCTGACTTAAGTGCAATCAAATCAGCTTCACTGTCTGACAAACTACCAATCACTCCACCACTAGGGACGGCCATACCCCAAGTCACACTTAAATTTCCATGTAGCCCACTCAAGCACTAATTAAAGACTCATGTTCCTAATTGAAATGGTCTAGGAGGAGATGATATAATTACGGTAAGATAATAGTCAACCATCCCCAGGGATGGCTACACCCCAAGTCACCAAAAATTCTGATGTGCCCAAGCACATTGCATTTCAATTTCCTTAATATAAGGTCCAGCAGAAATTACGATTGAAAGATTACAGCAACAACCTCCAGGGAGAGCCACACCCATAGTCACACACACACACACACACACACACACACACACAAAAAAAAAAAAAAACATATGTGCCTATGCACACCCCGACATTTAAGCTTCCTCAACCTAAACACCTATAAGTATATAGCAGAAAATATAACGCAAAGATAATAATCAACCACCCCTGGGGACGGCGACCTCCATAGTCACAAAAATCCGAAGACACGTGCACATGCCTCATGGTAAGTTTAAATATGCCCAACGTCTCATGTTCCTCACTTTAATGGATAGGGATAGATAACAGTAACAGCGATATCAAAATATACCCCCCCCCCAAAGGACTGCAAAGTCACACTAAAATTCCGAAGATCCTTTGCATGTAGGTTTATTAATTCCCAACGTTTCAGCTTCCTGAAGATCTACCGGTAGATAGCAGAAATTACGATGTGAAAATTACAATCAACCACCCTATGGTACAACCAAAATCCCATTATTCAAACCGTTTCAGGGACTTCCAAAAAATCCTGGTTACAAAATGCATTGCAGTTGCAAAATGCGGCTCTACAACTGTCATTACGAATGTGAATGGGTCCTTGAAAAAAGAGAAGGGCAGCACACAGCGCGGAACAGCTGAGTGCTTGAATGTAGGCCAAAAATTCAATTAAAAACTAATCGTTGTGTTCTTGGGGGAGATGACAGAAATTGTGATATATGTATAAAATATAAATCATCCACCCTGGGGGCAGACACCAGATTCAGCCTTTTGTGTGAAGGCAATCCTGTTCCCATTCCAATTCTATATCTGTATTATTTCAAATTGTTCCAGTTACTTTGAGGAAATTGGTTGCTAAAAATTACAGTCGCAGATTGCATTTTCACGTATTTTGTTGGTTGCAAAATGCAGCTTTTCAACTATCTTGTGGAATTACTCTCCAGGCTGTAGTTGCTGTAGTTAATTTACGCTCTTATCTTAAACCAAGTAACAGTGTATCAATTACAAGTGCTCGCCAAGTGCTCCTTTTTCTGAACTCCCCCGAGAAGGAGCAGTCGAAAACTCCATCACACATAAAAGCTGGGCAGTTTCTACTGCTCAGATTACACATCTACTGCTCTGCGTTTTCGCGGCCTAGCGGCTCCAGACAGCAATCTCACCAGCAGCAATTTTCAGTCTGTTTTTATTTTTATCAGAATTTTGTATTATTATTTCCGTCACATTAAATTCATTATTTATTTAATTCATTTTTAACTTGTTGCCTTTTAATCTTCGTTCCATCCTCAACACTAATGTCATTGAAAAGTGTTTATAACGTATCAATTCCCTGTAAATGAGGGATCACCAAATATTTGAAAATAATTTTAAGGTTACCAGAGGTTATGATGCAATTACAAGACCATTGTATATTCAAGCGAAAAAAGCTATAATGTTCATATATCTTAGTAACCCAATTCTTAGTAAGTGAGGCACTGTCAATTATTTGACTGTAACTTCAGAGAACCAGACACATGACGTAATTCCAAGGCCATCATGAAATGATAGAAATTGATATCGCGGTAATCAAAATACAACCCAAAAGAAAGTTTAAAAGTACATACGAACCGAGCATCGGTGGAATGTGGATTCCAAGTAATACATCTAAACCACTTAATTCTACTAGTTCCTTACAAGACTCAAATAAATTTGACATGCTTAGGGATAAACTGAATAGATCACTTGATCAGCCATAAAAGAGCTTTAGACTGCTCCTTTCCTTAAATTTTTGGTAGAAAATTAAACCTACTTTCGTGACCTACTTTTCTGCCCCATTGACATACAGCATAGAATGCTAGCAGAAAAATCCGTTCAAACATCATTTTCGAGAAAAATTAAACAGTGCCGTTTGGTAATTCTCTTAGTTATACAACTTGAAACTATATGCTGGCATTTGGTCAGTTTTTGTGGCAAAATATTGGCTTTGTATGCATCTTTAATAGTGCTATGTGCTGATTCTTGGTGGTTCCAATAAGAAACCCATCATGGATGGATAAGGCTGAAAGTTATCCTCTTCGGAGTCTTCCCATGCTGTGGATTCATTGAAAAAGATACAAAGTGGTAAATCAGTAAGTTGTATTGTGCGAGGACATTTATTTGTTGATAAAGCCCTTTGAGTACATCATTTCTTCATCAGGTGCCCTGAACATCCCACTTCTTAGCCCTTAAGATTCTGCAATTAACAGCAAGTCATTTACCAGGGAACACATCTTCAGGGGCGGATTGAGGCCGTCTTCTGGGTCTTACGGAGGAATGTCGGATTTTCAAGTTCACTTTGACTGGTATCTGATTTTTTTCTGTCAGAAGACGGTCAAAAATGGAGAATGGATCAACAAAGTTAATTTGGAAGACTGTCAGAAAATATCTCTGGATCCGACCCTGCATCTTTGACCACAATTACACACCCTAATAGATGATGCGTGTTCTGGGGCACGAAGGCTGGAAACTGCAGTCTCATGGGGCGCGCTCACAAGTGTTAATAGTAGTACCATGTTCCCATATTACCTGCTAGACCTGGAAAACAGTAAATAGACATGATCCAAACCCTGGTGGTATTCACCAGGTCTGCTAGGGTAGGAGAATGGCAACTATAATTGGCTCTCACTGCCATTTTCTTAGAGGACATTCATTGTGCCCTAGCCTTTGGCCAATGTAATGGATCTTCCTGTTGTGACGTTGAAAGTGGATATGGGAAAACCTTTCCACAGAGAACCGTCCAGCCTTCATTTGGGGCGGCCACTGGCATCAAAAGACGGCATATATTTTCAAAGAAGACTTATTACGTGTTTGGGGAATGATGGTGTAATTGTTACTGACCTCGGTGACCTTAGGAAAAAGTTTCAAATGGTAGGCAATTCCTCACTTAGTAAGGATTGATACTTTGAATGTGTTTAAAATTGTGACACTGGGCTATCAAAATGAAGACATGTTGACATTTTGTTCCAGTGTACATGTATATTGCAGATACAACCGCAAGCCTACTAGGCTTTTGGCCCCTCTACGAAAACACGTTCGGGGCAGACAAAAGCGGCAAAAGCAATGATGCGGAGCTCAGTAATGTCCGACAGTCCGATTATCTGACCAACCGTCTCACGTGGTATCACGAAGACGCGCACCTGACCATAGCTAACGGGGGACGATACCAGATGACGGGATCGTTTAGTATCATAAGTTAGTATCGAAGACTATCTGTTTCATTTTCAATACTGTATAGCGTGTTTCTTTCTTTCTAGTACTAGAATGTCCTTTTCTCATTAGGACAAAAATGCAGTACATCGTCACACCCTTAACTAACAGTTAAAGTTGATATTAAGTAACCACTTGTTCCAAAAATACACACCGAACGGACATGTATTTTTATTCTAAGTATTAAGTTCTTTTGTAAATTGATTTTTTTTTGCATATGAATTCTAGTTGAGATGACGTTAATTTTATAATAATTCAGTGGGGATCAAACTACGCTATATAACATATGGTAACTCCGTCGACTAACAGTTAAAGTTAAAGGCATAATAACTCTTTGTATGAGACCTATATTTCACAATAAAAACCTTGTGAATAACTCATAGAAATATAATATATTCTGTTTTACCACAAAAACAGCAGTTATAGCTTTTATTCTGATATTTGAACTTGTCTTTAGACCACGTGACCTCCATTGATGTCTATACTCTGTTAAAATCTCTTAAGATATTTTAACAAAAAACCAAACTTTTTAGAAAAAAGCCAGGGACTAACTTTGAATGTAAAAATGGATTCATTAACCATTGGTAAGCATGGGAAAATTGTTGTTTACTCCAGGAAAATTCATTTTTTGGCCGAAACGAAGAGTTATTATTGCTTTAATATTAAGAAACCGCATGTTCCAAAAAATACACACCAAACGGACATTTATTTTGATTCTATTTTAAGTATTTAATTCGTTTGTTGATTTATTTTTTGCATTTCTAATTGTGATTTTATAATAATTCAGTGGGGATCAAACTACGCCATCATAATTTTGGCAACTTCGATTCTGATGACTTTGTCATTTTCCAATTTAACGGTGGATTTACCCTCTCCATCGACAACGAGAGGTACGCCATTACAGCAGTGACACCGTTTACGTCCTGTCCCGAGCCACTAACGACACCTGGTGAGTAAAATAAGCGTTAATTTCAAAAGCGAGTATGTGGTATAAAATAGAAAAATGGAATAAAAATTAATAATAATAAAAAAAACGTACCCGTGTTGCCTTTTCGCGTTTCCGGTGACTGCAATTCGTTTGATTTTCTCAGCTGTGTTATCCAAAGAAACCAGAAAATACAACATCTGTTTGCTCCACTGCCAGTTTTCAGTTTTACTCTTATTACAGCAAATATATAAGCAGTAAAAGTAAAGTTGTAAGATATTTACGTTTAATTACACGACAGGTCACCAATGGTAGTTACACATATTTTACAAAAATGCGAGATTTATGGCAAAATATTGCGAAGAAAATTGTTGCACTCTTTTTTATTAGACGCCGCACTCATAACGATAGACATATACAAATTCGTTGCAGATGATAGTGCAATTTTTACTTCGGATTCCTGGCTGTTTTTGACTTACGACGAGCCAAACCAGGTTATGACTCTACGCTACGGCACCAATACGTCTTCTCTGACCGCAGAAAACTTTACCTCCATTAAAGGGCCGTTTGAAATGTCCGGAGACATTATCATTGGTAATGGTGTTCAAATGATTTGTTGATTTGCAAACCAACTTGAATAATCAATATGTAAAGTCACCCAAAATTAACCAAATAGCCTACCATGAAAAGCAAAATAGTTGATTTGTAACGTCATTAAAATTATTTGTTGTTTCAATTAGTCAGGTAAATGGGGTAAGCTGAACAGGTGCTCAATTACATGGTGTGGGTTTGTTTTGTTATGTTTCAATTTGTTTGTTTGTTGGCTTGTTAATTTTTTGTTTGTTTTTCACTCAGCTCCGCAAGCTGAGCTGCATCAAGTCCATTTCACATCCAATCACTTATTCACAGGTGGGGCATTTGAGCGGGACTGCAAAAAAATTCCGTCCAAAGACCGTTTTGAGGGATACTTGAGATGCGTGTTTTTATTTGATACATTGATTAGTACGTCCGACGCGACCAATGCCATGAATAAATGCATTGCACAAGACTACACAGGTGAGTTTCTCTCTCTTTCTCTTTCAAATGCACGTATTCACGTTATAGTTTATACCTGTACAGTACCTATGTGTAACTTATGCCAAATTGTTTTTGATTAATACCAGTTTATTCCATCCTAGTTCATTATAGTTAAACATAACGTGGAATTTGACAGTCATTCTACTCCAAAAGTCACAGTTATGGGACAAAAGCAGAGCTATTTTGCACTGTAAAATTCTGTGCACGTACCATTTTTCAAAAAATAAATTAGTTGAATTTAAAAAATATTACTAATCAGTTGAATTGAAAAATTAAAAGTTACTAATCAGTGGAGTAACACTATTAAATCATGTTAACATTCAGACTCGGTAGACCAATGTGAAAGTGGGCCGTGCCAAAACGGGGGGACCTGCACAGACGGACTGTTTTCCTATTCTTGTGCCTGCGCTTCTGGATTTAACGGAACCAGCTGCGAATATGGTAGGTAAACTGAACGCACACACCCATAAACACGCACATGACTAAAAGGTATGCTAACACAGCAAACAATGCCACCTGGTTAAAATAGCTTATTATGAAGATAAAATCTGCATTGGTGCTAGTTAATTCATTTATTGTTATAACCATCTTAAACAATGGAATAAAACATAAAATTACAAGGCGTTAAAAAGACTATAAAGGTACATATAAAGTAATAAGTTGAAAATCTTTTCAGAGTAATCTGTCCTGAGATTGTTTATTCTTATGATATATCTAAACTGAGCCCTTTAGTGCTGGATTCAGGGAATAAAGATTGCAACTTGCCACAATGCAGATTCTTTTAAGTTTTTTTTTGCATTGGGGTTGCCTCTCGTACTGCTTTCCAAATCACACCCAAAGCATATTTTAAGCACATTTAAAAGTGGGCGTTTCTATTATAAGAGCACCACACAATGAGTTTTATTTTATAAATTGCTTCAAGAAAAAAGTTGTACCGAAATATGCAGAATCAGTTTTTGCATTGTTGTTTGCCTGCCGTGCACTGCTCTGCCAATCATACATAAAGCATATTCTACAACACTTAAGTCTGTCCTGTCGAATATATAGGTCAACCAATGTTGGTACCGCTATGTCGCAGTGTCTTGCACGACCTTTATGCAGTGATGGATTTAGAGGGGGGAGGGGGGGTCAAGGGGGGGGGGGCTTCCCCCCCCCCCTTCGATTTTTGGTCCCCTATTGAAGTTAGAAATGTTGATATTGTATTAGGAGAATATAAAGTGTTTTGGCCTGTTCAATCCACTGTGGTAGATATTGTTTCCGATTTTGGTTTTCGTGACATTGTAGGGAAACTAACGACACACTTCAAAAGGTCAAATTATATACGCTGTTAGGAAGTGATGCGGCATGTGTTTAAGGGACCATTCCCAGACCCTATCGTACAGACTGTGGATCGATCTATCTCCAAGGGGATTCTCGCTAAATTGCAATCAATTTAAGCGGCTTAGATATCTGTCACGCCTACTGAAGCTGCTACAGTGTAGGAGGTAATTAATTATCGTTCAGCAGCTTCAGTAGGCGTTTCAGACATCTTTAGAAGCCGCTTAAGCTGAAATATACATTGATATATTTTAGCAAAAATTTTAGCACGAGTTTAGCGATTTTGGCGCGTTGTTTTTTATTTGGTACAGTGGATACTGCAAGTCTGATTATGTAAACAGCAAAATACACCGGGTGGTTTCCAAATTTTGCAGATACATGCATTTCAATGTCAACATGGTAGTGACATAATCCGTGTAGTTTGTTAACTTCGGATACTCTTAAGTATGTTCTCTGTATTTTATAAATTACTAAATTCATACGAATACGTAAATGTTAGGAAAATGTTGATATTGTATTTATTTAGACTACATGTAGACGCTGATCCGGAAAAGAGGCTTATAAACTAACTTGTATTTCCTCGGTGATCTATACTCGGTTTGACACTGGATTATGATGCATGACGGTTTATTTCAAGGTGGTCGTCCTATAAAACCAATGGGTCGTGACATTAATACAGGGCGCTATTTAAGTCAGCGAAAGGTGCAAAAACGGACATTTTAGTCTTGTTGTCAATATTTTATTGGTGATTACGTTATTTCACAAGTGACTTGAATCCCGAAAACTCAGAATCAACCAACAATATTACTTTCAATATGATAAATGATTTTGAAGGTTAAGGAACAAACAATCTTTGCAGAATCATAATTGAAACTTGCGGTAAATTTACTGTGTTGGTGGTCTTTGGTCGATCATATTTCTCTTTATAGTGCACTGAAAATAATACAATTTGTCCTGTCCATTAAAAGTTATATTTGTCATATGAAGCAACACTCCAATAAATGCCGTAATGCTGCCCATCAAATATCGAAAATAACAATTCTGGATCATCAATGAAGGGCAGCATTAAGGCATACATTGAAGTGTATATGAGTGCAACTTCTTATGACGGTTATATAATTAGAAATACCTTTTCATAAACAGGGCAAATTATACTACTCTCAGTGCAATATATAGAGAAATATGATCGCCCCCAAACCACCAACATAATAAATTTGCCGAAATAGTAAAGAAAATAATATTTTTCAATTGTGATTATGAAAAGAAAGTTTGTTCTTAAACCTTCAAAATCACCTATTTGATTGAAAGTATTCTTTATTTTTCGCACCCCGTGTCAAGTATAGATTACCGAAGAAATAAAACCATTTTTCAGGCCCGAAGCATCTAGCTTATATGTTGGCCTTTTTTTCTAGCTACACAGGTAACCTGTAAGCTACAGGTTTTCAACAGAAAGTTGTCCGTTGATAATAGATATCAGTCAAAGTAAAATTTATTTTATTAAATCAAATTGAAATATTATCAAATTTATATAGGCTTTCGGAAGCACTTCTCTTTAATCTGTCGCGAATTGACTTTTTTTTTTACGCTCGTCGTGACCATAAAAACTCCTCAAAACTGTTTAAACCCCTTTTACACTGGGCGGCGTCCTTCTGCGTTCTTTGTGCGACCATGAAACTGGCATCGCTGTGTTGTCGAAGAAAGGAGGCACAAGCATCGCTTTGGTTGCAAAATTTATGCTCAATGATCGGCCAGTATCATTATTGTTAATCTTAAACGGGGCCTTACTACGGGACGGAGAAAGAACGCCGTGTAAAGGGGGGGGGGGGGGTAGCAAAGGTGGCTGCACGATCATTTGACACCTGCACATTCGTTGATGACCTTTGGAAAAAGGGCGGTTATTACAGCTCATTTTAAACCCGCATTTTGTTGCAGTCAAAATTTACACGGGTCGTCGGAATAAAGTTTTGCCAAAAGCGTGTATCTATAGGAACAGTTTTATTAACTTAAGCCCTTGATGCTTGACATTTTTGTTCCAGTTGAACGCTGTCCTCTTCCCGCAACGCCTGCCAACGTCTGTCAGGTGGTCGGCGGTTTACACATAGGGGACAATATCACCTACACGTGTGTTACTGGTACCTCGCGGACAAAGGGCGACCTCGTGCGGGTGTGTCAGGATAACGGGACATGGAGCGGCCAGGAGCCCGTATGTGGTATGCATAACGTAGTTCATGTCCCTTTTTTTATTATTCTTTTATCACAATGAACACGTATGTGAGGCCAGTGATCAATGTTTTGAGTTGATTTAGCCATGAGAGACACCTTGGAACCTGTGGAAATAATTCATTGTGTGGCTGAATTGCGTAGGAGAAAGACAGTAAATGGGAATGGCGGTTTAGCCTCTCCCCTCTTTTTCCAGTCGCATCTGCCGTAAGCGAAAAAAAGCTAGGGAGGTGGGGGAGGGGCGGGGTTGCTACAGAGTATTCCCCTTTCTTCGCATTTCTTTACTACACCCGCTTCAAATCCATTTGTTTTTGAAATTAATTAAGTCTAATAAACTAGAGTATAGTTGTGTACATTCCATGGAACGCTTACAGATTACTATTATCAGTTACTACTATATTTAAATATCAAAATCACTCAGTCAGTTGAAAAAATACTAAAACCGCACCTTCTTTTAATATATGGTCTTACACTTGACCTGTTTATCCGTCCCTTACAGTTCGTAATAAATGAAACGAAACTCTGTGTCTTTTCTTCAGGGTACATTATTTGAAACTGTTTGGTGGTACCTGTATGTGGTCGGGTTAAATGGTGATGATTTGCTTGTCTACTGGCATAATGCGCATATTTACTGTTACATTTTAATGTAGAGAGCTACAGCATCGAGGTTGCGTGCGAACAGAAGACAGCAGCACCACGGTGTCCCTCTAACCATGTCATCCATATTGTGGACGCTTTGTATGGCCGGACCAACAATTTGACGTGTAAGCACACTGCTATGTCCAACACAGGCTGCAACGCCAGCAATTCCTACAGCGTTGTGTCTGAAGCATGCGAAGGTCAGCAGTCCTGTTCTGTGGTAGCAAGTAGGTCAACATTCGATCAGGATCCTTGTGAAGGAACCTTCAAGTACCTACAGATTAACTATAGTTGTCAAGGTAAACAGGCATGTTGGTAAACCCGACCAGTGGCGTATTTAAGGGTGTTGTCAGGGGGGTCCTGATCCCCCCCCCCTTCGATTTCTGAAAAAAAAAAACACTTGTTGAGTCACAGTTCTAAACCGTACCGAATGGCACCGTTCTCCCTCTAAAATATCAAAAATGTTCGTGCCCTTTCAGCGGGCCCCAAACTCTACGGCTATTTTTTGTTTGTTTGTTTTGTTAAGATTTGTGTATTAATGCACAGCAAGCACTCAAGACAAAAGTAGCCAAAAATCCGAACATTGGTCCAGTTGTTGAAGCCTACCAATGGTAGAGACAGTTCAACATGAACGTTGCTGGGCTCCAGCATGCTAGAAAGCAAGTGACGTCCTCCATGGAGAGCCTCTGGTGTTTGCTCTCCAGAGTGGTTCTTGCCTAACTGTGTATGTCATAACGTGATCATAAACAGTTTATACCCAACTTTAAGCTTAATACGTGTATGCAAGTAAGTGCTAGCTTTTTTCTTCATTAAAGTCAAGCATTTGTTTTTAATGGAATGCTTTATAATGCTTTGGTTAAAAAGGGCAAAGTACCGTGTCGTAATGGCAAAGCCTTTGGTAGGGGCAAAGCGAGATGAACACATTCTTAATCGGCCCTTAAATATCATGTAAAAATAGTTGAAAAAATCCCCATCTTATATTGACATTAATTTTTCTAATTCAGCACAAGCAAGATACCAGCTAGACTACTCCTTTCATATCGTCGAAGATAATCTCACGTGGTTCGAGGCAGGAAGGCGTTGTGAAAGTCAATACAACGGCATGTTGGCAGAAATCCACGACCAGTACATGAATGATTTTATCTCAGCCATCATAACAAAGTTTGATCACGCAGATATTGAATTCTGGATAGGAGCAAGGAGAGAACATTTTACTGAGTATTGGCAGTGGTTGTCAGGTAAGACATTCGAACTAAAACATGTAACTGGTACGCAAATATAAGCTCATGCCCTTGCGATTAAGACTGATACACAGACAGACAGGCGTGCAGGCAGGCAGGCAGACAGATGGACAGACAGACGGAAAGACAAGCAGACAGACTGAAGAACAGACAAACAAACGGCCAGATAATTTTACTCAAATTTCTTCATTAGGTATACCGATTGGGTGAATTAAAATCTCAAAATGTTATATCCTCATTTATAAATTTAAAACTAAAAACGCTTAACCAGTATCAGTATCAGTATCAGTTCAGTGAGAGCCACATCCTTGGATTAAAAACATTTATTTCCCCTAGGGAATAATGTTGAAGAGGTACATTGGGGCCCAGGCCAGCCAGATTGTGTAAAAGGGAGGCTCTGCGTTTCTTTAAAGTTTAACGACGGAAAGTGGGGTTGGCAGAACTCCCCCTGCAATGTGACCAAGAATTATATTTGCATGCGCCAGCATTGTAAGTAATTTGCATGTTGCCATCGTGATTTGTATGCAATCTTGAATTGATTTTCTAGGTGTAATTACATTAGAACTATCCCAACCAGTCTGGGAATATGCATTTTTCTTTCTTGTATACCCTGTAATACAGGTTGGATTCTCGGTTGAATATGGGGAATGAACAATATTCTCGATTGTGACTTGGGCATTTGTATGAACAAACAATATGTATTTACAAAATAAATACCAGCATACATTATTTTTAGATTGTTATTCAACAATACAAGCAGGCTACCGGAACGATGGGTTTAACCTACGTGAACTGTTCATGACAAACGTTCATGAGTGCGAAAAAGAATGTCTTCGTGACATCAGATGCAAGGGTGCCACTTTTAACATACCCATACAACGTTGCTATTTACATCATAAGACAGACAAAATAGTTCCTGGAGATACGCATTATTTCATTAAGAAACGTTGTGGTAGGTATCTCATAATTAATTGGTCATTTAGCAGCCTCCGAATGGCGGAAAACTTCAAAATTGTATTATGGTCTTGTAAAGACAGCTAAATACTCACTCTGTATCGATACCTTAGTGTGATTGTATTGTACATTTGGTTTGTATAAACATTTTTTAATGCAAGTTATACAGCCACTGATGACATTAAAAAACTGCGGTATATTTCATTAGCCATTTAGTAGCCGTTGAAAACTTAAACCAGTAGAATAAAAACATATGCACACGTCAAGACAGCTAAATACTCTCTCTGTTGCCCTCTCTCTCTCTCTCTCTCTCTCTCAGTAGCACGGCATCTACTTACACGCAATAGTATTGTGCATTCGTTTTATACATATATTTATATTGATGCGTTTGTTATGTACATATACTGTAAATAAACATAATAATGTTATTCTTGTTGATGACGAACCATGATGATTACATTTTCAGATTATTTTGCATGGAAAACCAATGATGACATTCATTACTGTAACGACCGTCATTGTTACTGGCTCAAATCTGGTGACAGCACAAGTAATCCGCAGCAATTTTGTCAGGATACGGATGGAGAAGTTCTTACTGGTAGGTCGATATTTTTAAATGTCACAAATAATTTGGCAGGCTAATTACTCTTTAATGAAATTTCGCAATTTATTGCACGTAAGGGTATTAGAATAGTTGATGTTCTTTTTCAAGATGGGAAAATTCTAACCAAAAGCTGAACTGTGTCAAAAGCTTGAGCGTCAAAGTGTGCTTAATTGGGATATGTTGCAGTTTATAAACAGTTTTCAAAAGACAGAATATACATCCCTTCCCAGTATTCAATAAACGTTTTAGATATGGCACTTATGAACGTGGCGAAAGGTATTGGGATATTTTATCTATTCCGTCACACCCCCCCCCA